TTTTTTTTTTTTTTTAAAGTTATTATCTTTGACCTGATCCTGCTCATCGACAGTAACATAAATATATATACATATATACACAATAGAATTATATATTAATTATAACTAAAAATATACTTATGTAATTACATTTAGTTATTAACTTCCCCATGAGTCTAAAACTCTAAATTAATCACACGAAAACGCTGAATCTTTCAGAATAACAAATAAAACACACTGCACTTCCCTCATATACAGATTGCACTTTAAAGAATCAACAAGGATGTGTTATAAGACATGTAGAGACCTGCAAGGAGAATTTTATAACAATTTAAATGGATATTTTGAAATAGGTGAAACTACCACAATTTACTTGTTCGATCAAAAGATAGAAATACAAAACAGAACACACAAAGCTTCGACTCCGCAGGGCTTTGCGTTTAATCTACGATTACAAAAGAAAAATAATTGTTTCCTGTTAACTTCCCAATTATATGCTTCCAATTTCCAAGTTAAAATGCATCATAATGTATCAAAAATGAAAAAAAAAAAAAAAGGTTCATTTTGATTTTTTAAATTCGCTAACACTGATGATGGAGGCCTTCTTCTTGATATCGTACGTAACCTTGTCCAGATCAGCCACAGTCGCCAGATGTCCATAATAAACCCTCTTTTTCTCACCCGTCTTTGGATCCATTTTCATGAGGTTCGGATTGTTCTCATCATCCTTGGCATTTCCAAGTCCTGAAGGCTGCACGCGGGCCCATACCTTTCGCCCGCGCTTTTCCCTCTCGAAATAATCGGACAGCTTTTGGGCTTCCTTCAGGCCGGGCTCGTCTGACGAGAACTTCACGATGTGCATGCCCATATGGCCTTCTTTCGAGTACAAGGAGATCGACTTGCCACTAGAGAATCCAATATCTAAAAAAATTGATATCACGACCACCAAAAACAAATCAAGATTCAGTAGAACCCGATAAAACCAAAAACTCATTTTTCTTTAAATTATTTTGGAAAGAAAATTTCAAAAACTGATTGTCATATTCGCAGAATTTAGGAATGCTGCTTCATGACATTTCTACGGAACTTTAAAAAAAAAAAAAAAGACTATCCTTGATCTATATTCTATACGAATGAAACTTAAAGGTAGTAATGTAATTACATTACACCCATATTTTATTTTAGAAAACATGAAGACCCATGATCAGAGAGAGACAGAGAGAGAGACTTCTCCCTAACCACCTTTCATCAAAAGACACTAATCAGGCAAACTGAGCAGTCATAGCTATCAAACTACACGAGTAATACGAATAAGAAACAGAATACAACCACTAATGAGCTTGAAGACCATGATAATATTATGGTCCAAGCACTCTACTCACGTAAACAAAATAAGATTATGAAAACTGTAATCCACAAATTTGATGCCGGAATACAGTCTCCAGGTGCTGATAAGCTCCTGAATGATCAGATCGGACGAAAGCTAATCTAAATATCAAATTTTAAAAATAAATGCTGAAGGAGATTAAAAACTTAATGTTCACAAAATTGTCCCGTTAAAGCGCAGCACAGCATCAATGGCAAGTGGTTCTATATTTCCCTTCAATTAGCTGCAATTACGTTCCGAGAAAGCTAATACTGATAAGGGAATAATTCATCCTACATGCAGGTGGAGTGTAGTTGCATGTGTGTTCACCACACATTCATAATTTACCTTGACAAACAAAAAAATTAAAAAAAGCACTTGCACACAATTAATTTTGACAGGCAATAGGCCGACAAAACACGAGAGCAAATTATATGACCGTTATTGCAGTTCAGACATCTGCACCCATCCACATGCAACAGTGGCCAACATATACAATTACAATCTTTATTAATTTTCTTTTTTCTGATTTTGTTCCATTACCTAGGAAGAACCAAGGCTGGGATGATGATTATTATTATTATTATTATTATTATTATTATTATTATTATTATTATTATTATTCACCAAATATAATTATTAATTAGTAGCCATGAAACATAAAGCTAACATTATGGGAACAATTGACTCATAGGCAGATCTGAGAGGATAAATTGATTTGGCAAGATCTGAGAGAAATATTTGACTAGGAAGATCTTACCATATTACTTACTAATTTATGGACATAATTGAGAAATTATAATATAAATAATTAGATTGGGATGAACAGTAATTAGGCAAAAGAAGAAAAAAAAGCATTTTCTGCGTTCAGCATTTTAGGCTTTGTTCGACTGGATTCTTCCAGGAGTCCTTCGCGACTATTAGTTTTTCAGATTGTCATTTTGTGTGCGCTCTCAACCTACCGGACTTAGCAGAAAATAGTGGCAAGCAAGTATATATTTCCTTGTAGAGAAGAATTAAGCAGATAAGCTCCACTAAGTACCAAGAGCATCAGAAGATGCTATAGAACCACACGAAAACAAAGCACCACTATAAATCAAGGATAAAGAAATGAGGGGTGCATGAATACCTCTAAGAAAACTATCCATTCCCTTGTTCCCTATACCTTCCATACGGCCATCTCTACCTTTTCCCCAGATAGTATTGTGAATCAAAACAGATGGAGGCCACATAATAAGGTCATCCTGGTTAACTTCTGCTCGTTCGGGAGAAAGGTTCTGATAGGCTCTTGAATTATCTGGAGGCACTGTATAGTTCCAGCCCATCAGAATGCATAAGGCCTTGTGAAAGGCCAGGTGATCCACGAGCACATCCGCATTTTCCGAGCTGTATGCATGCATGACAAGACTGTGTGTGTCTGGAAAGTCCCTTGAAGACCTGTATTTTCATATGCCAAAACCGTGCAGTAGTCTCAGACACAAGACACTCAGTCTTTTATGCAAAAAACTACAAAATAGAGTGTCTGATTTGGAGCTATAGAATATATCTGCGTAGGATATATTTGTCTGACTTCTTGGTCAATGGCATCAGATAAAGCACTGCCCATATTCATCTTTCGCCTTGTCAGTGTCATTCCATAGTCCAAATACATTACAATTAAACTTTTTTTTTTTAGCCCAACCTCTGATATATTATATAAAATCTTCATATACAGAAAGTGAGATTTTCCTAAGCAAATAAGAAGAATCTTACAGTCGACAAAGTAAGTGAAACAGGGCACTCGTCTAGAGAGGAAGATCGATAAATTAACCAAACTTCAGTATTAGCAACATCCTAAATAAATATGCTCAAGCAAATGAAGGGTAGCCCTGCTCCTACCTTCCCAAACCAAATCCTGTGTACCTCAAAGACCCATAACAAAAAGAGTTGGGAAAGAATAAATAATCAGCTCCTTTTACTAAGGAGAAAAAATAAAAGATAAACAGTGAAAACTAAGAAATATAACAGAAATGATAACATTGAAAAACAACTTCCCAACAATTAACAATCTTCTACTAAGTTATTGACGTTTCGAAAGCAGTAGAATTCAAGAATGGTGTACCACTTGGTTTACACATGTACCCCTTGGATGTAAACCAAGTGGTACACCAAGGTGTACAAGTAGCATTATTCAAAAATATTTTTCAGATCATCCCCCAAATATGCTAGCTAGGCTGTCTAATATGCATAATATTCAAGCTCTACGGCTGCAAAAACAGGTATTATTAATACAATTACTTGATAACATATGGTATGACTGCACGAGATCCAAAGAGCTGAATGTCCGACACGCACAAGTGAGATATTAAGTATTCATAAAACCAAGATACTTCAATCACTATATCTATCTATCTATATCTATATATATTATATATATCAATGGATAAATTTACATGCAGAGAACAACAATGCTTTGCAGAGAACAACAATGCTTTGCAGTTCACCAAGATGAAGAATCATACAGAACACAGTCACAGTCATCTACAAGTCCCTAAATCTAATAGCTAACACATAAAGTGCCAACTTCCACGAAGCAGAACTATCTATCTAATCCCCATGTAGGAGAATGAGAATATCAGGAGTAAACTTAACAAGGCTAAACAAATAGTCATTACACACTCATCCATTTTGGATGGATTGCAATCTGCCTATGCAGCCTCTCAACCATAAAACTATAGCACAAGTCGCGAGAATATGTAAAGCCCACAACTAAACCATCTGAATAATGAATGAATGACATTAGAAACAAGGCACATTATGCCTTCAAGATGTGAAAGTGAGAGACCTCTGAAATTCAAAAGCAACATTGTACAGCTGTGAGTCCTTTTCTACAAGATTTACCAATATCCGATATTGTATTGACTCTTACATGATGTTCCAGTAAACACGCTTTGGGACATAAAGATCACGCAAAAAAAAAAAGAAATAAATAAAAATGACATCAGCCACATTTCAGCATAAACTAATAGACGTTCTACAAACCTTCTGCCCCCAACTACATCAACATCTACCACCCATGACTCAGCACAATGAAATCTAATGTCTAACTTCAAAGACCATGGCCAAAAGCATCAAACATCTCATTCTCACCCGACATGAGAAAATAAGTACAAGATACAAAACATGACTTCATAACACTTCAAATGATGCTATGCAAACATGATGGCTCACAGTTAACCATAGGAAGATTTTATAACCCTGTTACAACCATTTCTATATGGTTAGCCCGTAAAAAGCTGCTGTTTCTTCGTGTATTACTGCTTCTGTGCTGCATCATGGCCTCACACTTAGGAATTTAATAGGAGTTTATTTAACTATACTTTTAAGAAAATTGATGGGATCAGTCTATGAAATAGAGCAAAACAAAGGAAGATTTTGATCTTAAAGGCACAGCCGATCAGGGCAAGTCACCATAACTATTAATCCCAAAGTTCAGGATTACATTCATTGACGCCTCATCATTACTATCGATTTCCTTACAGTCAAAAATACCATATCACTAAGATAAGTTATCCATACACAAAATTTGAGGCATCAAAAGCAAACGATAACATAGCATACAGGATCCAGTATCACTATCACTTGCATACTCTTAATACCACATTCAGAATTGTAACCTTCCCACGGCATATGAGCTATTAATACATTTTTCCCCAACGCAATTTCGCCACCAACCGTAGCAGCACTAAATGCTAAAATTTGTCCCCTTTTAATGACTACAGTTTTCCTATCCTCTTTTTTCTTTCTACAATGAGCCAAGCAAACAAAGAATCAAGGAAATTGTGATTCAATAAATATTTTTCTATGAGAGGCACTCTTTTAAACCACGGGAGAAAAAACCATTTTCGAAGTCAAGCCTGATGATAATGATCTTGTACAAATGACATTATGCTGTATATGTTTAAAAACAACAAAGAAATCATTGTCCAGCAGTCAAATCAAAAAGACAGAACTTTTGCATATTATAGATATTGGAACTGCTACGTTACTTACTATCAGAAACAATTTCTGAATACTGCCCAGGATTTCAGCGCTTGCTGGGTAGAAAACAAAATGTGTGCACACATGTAAATACATACTACGTGATGCGGCAAAAGAATATAGCAGAAAATTAAAATAACAAGCTCTTAGCCAGTCTCATTGCTCGTTGGGTATAAAACAAAATGTATGCACACATGTAAATAAACACCACGGCCACGGGAAGAGGCAAAACCAGACAGAAATTGACTATAAACAGCAAAAGAAACAAAGCAAAAATATAAAAGAACAAGCTTTCTTTAATTTTAGCGATAGATAATTATCAGACCTTCCACAAACTAGACATGGCACAGGTCCTTGTTTCCCATCTGCCAAATAATTCTTTCTCTGATTCCCAATTTCAAACACCAACTTCACAAAATGCAGAAAAGCATTCTTTAACGAATTCTGATCCACCTCACCGTGCTTAATCTTACTCGAACATGCTTCAAGAACCCGCATGTTCTTAGAGGCCCTAATTTCGTCACCTCTCCCTAAATTATACCCAGCACTCAGGCCCGGCCCGTTTGCAGTTCCATACTGCAACAGCTGTTGCCTCTGCCTCTCATACCCATCATCCCTCCCTTCCCTCTCACCCTCCCCAAACTTCCGCTTTAATGGATTCTCGAGGCCCGAATTCCAATACTCCAGATTCCGGGACCTTGCATCTGGACCGGGAAACCCTGGGCTCATCGGTAAAGGGGGCCGTTCCAGCCCGAATTCACGACGGCCCATTAATTCGGGCCGTAAACCGGGGCGATGTGCTAGTGCAACGTTCTCATAATCCGGGGGCAAAGCGAGGTAAGATCGCACGGATCCATCTGCTAGGACTATGCTCCGGCGGTCGAGCATGTGGAACCCGTACGATGGGGGCGGGAGCGGATCGTTTATAGGGAAAACGAGCCTCGGCCCGGGTACAGCGTTCAGGTTTTCAGGCCTCGGGGATGGGTTCTCTGGCCGGGGCCTGGGTTTCGCGGGTGGGGGTTTATCGTTGGGATCTTTGTTGTTCGGGGCAGTCGCGTTGGCGAAGCTAGGGGAAGGCTTGGAAGTCGCGGAGGGTATATGGGCGGCTGCGGAGGCGGAGGAGGGGCCCCAGACGGAGTTCCGGTGGTGGGTGTGGGCGGAGAAGGAGGATGGAGGGGGGTCGCCGCCGGGCATGTTACGCATAAATCTAAAGCCAAATAAAGCTAAAAATATCGAAGTGTTCCCAGCCAGTGTTTTTATATGTAATTTTGGGAAATTCTACGGTCCGGTTACGGAACCATTCCGTCGAGGTTTATAATCGTTAGATCAACTATCTACGACCGTTACATGATGATCTAACGGTTATAAATCTCAATGGAATGGTTCCGTAACGGGTTTGTAGCATTTTCCCGTAATTTTTTATTATTTTTTTTATGTTTTCAATTGCTTTTAGATGTATACATATTTGAATGTGTTTAATATATGTGATTTTTTTTTTATAAGTTTATAAAAATATTGTGAATGCCTCTAATTTTAGATATTTGTATATATAATTATAAAATAACTATATTTTTGTGTACTTATTTATTAACTAGTACAGTGCCCGTGCGATGCACGGGGGCATTTTTAAAAGGTATTTTTGCATTTAAATTGTATCATGACATTAAATTATTGAGCACTTCCTTATGTACAACATTTTTTGTTTGATTTTATGGCACGTAAAATACTACATAGTTGTTCGAATTTTATCTACAATTGCGCATTATTAGTTATTAGCTCACAAATTACATTTGTTTCTAAGAAAAAAAATATGGATCTTATTTATTAAAAAAAAAATTAGTCGGAAAAAAGTAAAGATTTCTAGGAATTTCCATGCCAATTTTTTAATCTAATTCAACACTTTAATTCAGAAAAATTGAAAAGAATCATTAGTTTTTCCTAAAAATAAAACGGAGTTTTCATACCAATACACCGACTTTTTACCAAACAAACTAATCAAATATTTGGAATTTTTATGACTTTGATAGACATTGTGAGACTTTTGTAACAAAATCTAAGCAATATAATGAGATTTCAACTAAGACTTTGTCTTTGTTGTTGTAAATATTAAGTTGTGGACATTACCTAGATATAGGATTTGTAGGCATGGGCCAGGAGCCCATTAGGTATTTACTCATGTACATTATATTCCCTTATATATAGGGCTCAAGTGAATGAATAAGAAGAGGGTTTTTGAAGGCGTATCTCTTCTCTCTTATTCTCTTCTTCTTCTACTGTTTCTATCTTTGTCTATTTTACACATAGATTTTACATATTGTCAATCTATATTACAACACGTTATCAGCACGAGTACTCTACCATCTAAGCGAACGGCAACAGCATCAAGACGAATAGGCAATTAAGATAACAATCAAGAATAGATGTATGCCCTAGAAAAGAATCGTGTCTTTTCTGTCAAGGTAACATTCAAGATCTATTCAATATCAATAATGATCTATTAGTTTTATCAATTTTAATTATATTTATTTATCTCTAAACGATTAGATTGATGATTTTTGTATGAGTTATGTGAATAAATAATTTAATGTGTATTTCCGTTATTGAATAGATCTAATTAATATTGTGTTTGATCTACTCGACACCAATGGCCTCTTTATTGGATGATAATGATGAGTATGTGATTTTGTTATCCGTGCCTTCCAAATATATCAATGACTCAGATTTTATTTTGCTGATCATTCTCTTGCCACGAGTATTATATTCGTTCTGTGAAATTGATGCAAGAGTTATTTTCGGACGTGTGTTATATCAATTCGAATTAATTTTGGATTCTCGACTTCTGTGAATTGCGTACCGCAAATATATATAAGTGTTGTTGCTGGAATTATTTCATTGGATAAACTCATGATTACATGATGCTGGTGGCTTTATTTTAATATTAATGTTAATGATCATAAAATTGTTTTACTTTACGTGGATTCTTCGTAAGTTATTGAATGTCCAAATCATGCCAATTAATTGATGCTCATTATATGTAGTAAATTAATGTAATGATCGTTATCATAATAGCAGATATGTTTATGTGCCTATTTTGTATGGGAGAAAGATTATATATAAAAAGTGGTGGAAATATTGGATATAAATTATTTATGTTGTATAGCTCAATTTATGATCATCTTTGTAATATGGTTGGATTAGAAGATAAAATTGTGCAATTATGAAATAGTGCAATATTATTAGCGAATATCTATCTATCCAAATTTATAAGGTTCAATTGAATACTAGTAGTCCCAGAAGGACACTAATATTAAACATTAATAGATAGAATGATTAAAACAATGCATCGATTGTCTATAAGATGTCAATCCATATTTTATGTATCGATAGCTTGTAAGTTGACAATGAAATTCTTGTACACTCCCTGAAGGATC